AAAAAAAAAATTAACCTTCAATATGTAAAAATATTGGAACCGGGTTCCCGTCAACTCTTCAAGTTCTTGTCACCACCGTGCCTTTCGCCGGATTTACGATCGCCGGAGACCAAAATTAGCAAAAAAAAAAAAAAAAAAAAAACTGAAAATCGGGAGTGAAAATCGGGAGTGAAATAGGGAGTGAAATAGGGAGTGAAAAGGAATGAGGGAGTGGATTGTGGAAGAAGATTAGAACTAATATAATAATTGGATAAAATAAGTTGGTAGATGGTGGTGTGATGTGTCCCTTTTATTTATCATTTTTTTTAAACATAGGGAGTTTATTGTAAGATATTTAGTGTAATAGGGAGTGAAAAGGAATTTTTTTTGTGTGGGGACTGAAATGGAATATGAAAAAGGGTTTAGGTACTTTGTAGGAAAAACCCCATACTTTTATCACTCAAATATTCTTCTTTACTAAATATTTTTAAATATTTCTTTCCTTTCTTTCTTCTATTTTTTTCTCTCTTTTTCTTATGTTATTTCTTCCATCAAAACTTCCCCTATTTATAGGAAATTCTATCAAATAAAAAACTATATATTTTTTATTTTTATTGTAATTAGTTGGAATAATAAGAAGAATATTAGGAAGAATAAGAATCATTTGGTGGAATATTAGTTAGCAAAATTAATTTAACACTCAAATTATTAACATCAAATTCACCAGATTATCCACGTCTCACAAATCACAATTGAAGAAGAGCTTGGCGATCAACATAAGCTTATAAGCTTCAGGTGCAATTGTCGGCGGTGAATCATGATGGAAATCTAGTTTTTCGACAAGTCCAGACGATGGATTATCGAAGAGTAAAAAGAGCTGGACGCTTTCGCTGGGAAGTGTTAATCGAGTGGTAGGAATTGTCGGAAGAGGAAGCGACATGGGAGAACTTACAACATATCCACAACCAATTCACCAACTTTATGAGGACAAGAATATACTTGAAGGGGACAAAAATGATGCGGACGAGGGCCGACGCTTAAGAACGCATACAACCAACAACGACGAGCTCATATCAAGGCACAGGGATAACATCTAGCATGGGCGCACAGCGGCTCGGGGGAGCAGGCCACCATAGTGACGGGCTCGAGCAATTGAGTTCGGACGAGGAGCTGATCGTGTTTTATTTATTCTAGAGGGTGATTCCGTTTAGTTTATCATTTGTTAGGACCTATTTATAATTTTCAGTATTCTTCCTTGTATTGGCCGAAAATCTCGGCATATTTTGTGCCGACGGCCGTCCGCGGTATCACAATTCATACGATCTTCATCAAGCTGAAGCTCTTCTTTTGAACTGTGTTGTCTATTTACGTTGGACGGTCTAATTGCTATTGTCTTGCGCCAGTGAGACGCTATGCTGTTTATCCAATCCTATTCTCTCTTCCTTCTACTGATAGTAAGCTGCTTGTTTTTCGCTTTGAAATTACTTTATTTACTATTTTTGGATCTCAATTGGTATTTTGGAACTATCTTTTTCGTCATTTTACAATGCCTTCTCCCTTGTTTTCGTTTCTGCATTTTCCAGCTTCGTTTTTTGAGGCAGTGAAGCGTGGAGTTCGTCGTTTTTCAAAACAATATGGACCTTGTAGAAATTGCCTGAATTTGTAAACTACTTCAATTTCCCTTTGCAGAGTTTGCCTGTGAATTGAGGATATGAGATACTCGTCGGAATTCATTACACACGGGATATCACAGCTTGGAGTTTAGCATTACTTGCATTTCCCTCAGCAATGGGCTACTCTCTCAAAATTCAGACCTTAATTCAGATTGTGAAAAGGAAATGGCTGCTGTTGGTGGGGTTGGTTGTTCTTACTCATTTGCTCTGTCAGTCTTTGCTGCTTACTGAGTCACCCAAGCACTCTCCTTCTCTTAAGACCTTGACTATTGACATTCATCATGAGGATAGTGCCTCAAGTCTCCATAATGAATCTCTATCTGTGAGGCGAGTGAAGAGCACAAGAATTCGTGACATGGATGCTGAGGATAATGAGGGATTTATGAAAATTGACAAGGAAGATAAAACGGATTCTGATTTGGATGCCAATGGCATTGATGATGATATTAATTTTGTTGAGGATGAAACCCTAGGTAATGTGAATATGGACGTGGGGAAGGATTATATGATTAAGCCAAGTGATAGGGAGCATGATCATCATCGTTCTTTGCAAGTTGGGAAAAATGTATCTAGCCGGAGATTTTCTCTGGGTCAACTCACGAAGGTGAATTCAGCTGCTGTCTTAGATTCAGAAAGTAGTAAGATTTCGGACAAAGATGTCATCAGCAGTTCTGCTTCTTTATCGCCTTTGGTTGTCTCACCAGCTAAACCTTTGTTGATTGAATCCGCGGTTCAGAAAGAATCAGAATCTGTAATTAACCTATCAATGTCCAACAAGATTGTTAAGAATGTTAAGAAGAAGATGAGATGTGATATGCCGCCTAAAACTGTTACATCAGCAGAAGAGATGGAAAAGTTATTAGTCCGGCACCGAGCTCGGTCACGTGCAATGGTACGTGTTTGGCTTGCTATATGAAGCAAAGTTGATGTTTTGTGGCTTACTCCATCACTTAGAAACTTTTGGTTGGATTTTGTTTCATTTATTTTATTTTTGTGATTTGATTGTAGAGACCGAGATGGTCTTCAGAGCGTGACCAGGAAATCCTATCTGCAAAACAAAAGATTGAAAATGCCCCTGTTTTGAAGAGTGATCGGGAACTATATGCTCCTCTATTTCGAAATGTTTCCATGTTCAAGAGGTCAGTGCTCGCCCACTGTAGCTTTATGCGGAGCTGAACATGATTTAATTCTAGATGAGGCCATCTTTTACATGACACCAATTGATCTTAGTCAATTTCCTTTTCTCAAGTCTTGTCTTTTTGCTTGAATATCTTAAGTTGAAATACAAGATGAAGAAGGTTTAATCTAAATGAGTCCATCTTTCACATAACAAACCAATTTTTAGCCAAGTTCCTTTCCTCAAGTTATCTCTTTTCGACTTTAATATCTTAAGTTTGAATACATGGTTAAATTGTACTCCAATATTATTGCTTGTGTTTTTGTTTTATCTGCTCGATCATCTTTAGTCATCTTTGTTTCATGAACGAAGTAGCTTCAGCAAAGGGTTTCCATACTCGCTGATATGTGGATGACAAATTAGTTTTTCTGTACGGCGGAGAACGCCTCACTTCCCTGACTTTCGGTTCCTTACCTTACTGTCTTTAGCTCTGGAACTGAATTTTTGGCTCAAAACTAAAAGGAATGTGTTAACCAACGCTTCCATGAATTTGATCATGGTCTTCACTCATGCAAGTCTATTCACCAAAATAATAAGGTTATGTCACATGCTCAGATCCGTGTCATCCTAACATTTTAGTGTGGGACTTTTTTTTTTAGAGACCCTTTTTTCACGCAAAACCATTTGTGTGGAAATGCTACCATGTTACATTAAAATAAAAAGGAAAATAAAACGGAACTGTGAACAGGATAATATTGGAAGCTTCATTGTTTATAATGTGTTATCCATTGCGAGCCAAGAGATGTTCTTGTACCGTAAGCGAGGACACCTTCAGCTAGGCACTAATAGTGCTTGTAAAAGTGAAATGGTCTTCACATTGGCTTTCAAACTGATTGATGGAACTGAGAGTATGAATTTGAAATAAACACGACTGTGCTGTATAATATTACAAGATTTTTGTGCTTTAGGAGAATCAAGCTTGAAATATAGAACTGTTCTTTGTGAAAACTCCCGCTATCACAATAGTGTGGTTGCAGATGCATACCAAGAAAGACCCATTTCCCATGTTAAAAATCAATAATCTAGTTTGTAGATAGCAACTTCTGATCTTTTACCGTCTCTTCTTCTTGCTGCCTCAGACTGAATGTTTCTCAATCTATTCATCATCATTCTACCTTTGCACACTGGCAAACTTCAAGTTTGAAAGATTTTTTGTTGTCCCCACTTACTGTTCTCTATATGAGAATTTTACTCTAACCACAAGCAACACTCAGAAGTCTATTGGACATATGTTTTTGACTTACACTTTGGTCTCGTTGAGAGTATGATTAGTAAGCTGAATAAAAGATCTCGAGGATATATATAATATATATATATATATATCTCGGGGGCATTTGTAGATTTTTTTAAGAATTGGATTATCCTAAATTGAGTATTTTTTTAATTAAAGATAACTGGTGTTTTCTTGTGATTAAATTGAAAGTGAGGTATGTAGTGTAATTTTCTTGTAACTTATCTATTTGGATGTGGATCATATTTTTGCTAGCGAATAAATTATGTTTCTTGGGCCTCGGTATATATCTTCACCATTCAATATCGTAAACTTTTTTAGTTGAACCTTTTCATTATGCTTTTCCACTAAGCAGGAGCTATGAACTCATGGAACGCGTGCTGAAGATATATGTATACAAGGAAGGTGATAAGCCTATCTTCCATCAGCCAATACTCAAAGGATTATATGCATCCGAAGGATGGTTCATGAAACTAATGGAGGGGAATAAAAATTTTGTTGTTAAAGATCCAAGGAAGGCTCATCTGTTTTACATGCCATTCAGTTCACGAATGCTGGAATACACACTATACGTACGTAATTCCCATAACCGGACAAACCTACGCCAATATTTGAAGGATTATTCAGAAAAGATTGCAGCAAAATACCGATTCTGGAACAGAACTGGCGGAGCAGATCATTTTCTTGTTGCCTGTCATGACTGGGTATTGCATCACTTGCACATCTCCCTCTCCATCTCTTACTCACACACACACACACACACACATAAGTCCAGTATGAATTTATCAGTTCTTGGTAATTCGATAATTTCGTCTGTTTTAGGGTGTGTTTGTATATGAAATATCTCAATCCTTACTCAATTCATACTCAAAATCTAACTCAACTTTAACTCACCCACTATCTTCAACATAATCAATATAATTAAAGAATATCAACCAATCATTCTTACACATCACATCAACTTTAATTTACTATTCATCCTCTCACATAATTTTAACTAACTATCACTTCATATCATCTCTCTCCCACTTTTACATCAAATCAACTTTAATTATTTTATTTTAAATATTATTTTAATATAAAATCAAAATCCAACTAACACCTAACCATATAACTTTTTTTCAAAATTAACTCTGGTTAACAAAAAAAAACTCATTTTGAGCGGATATATTTGTATTCAAACACCCCCGGCTTTGAAACAGCTTGATATCAATCATTTACGTTTTAAGACTCTTATGCCTTTTAATGCATTACATGTCTACAGGCTCCGTACGAGACGCGTCACCACATGGAACACTGCATCAAAGCCCTCTGCAATGCTGATGTCACCACAGGCTTTAAAATCGGGAGAGATGTCTCCCTTCCAGAAACATATGTCCGTTCAGCTCGAAATCCTCTAAGAGATCTCGGGGGAAAGCCACCTTCTCAGAGACAAACACTCGCATTTTACGCAGGAAGCATGCACGGCTACCTCCACCCAATCTTGCTCGAACACTGGGAGAACAAGGAGCCAGATATGAAAATGCTGGGCCGAATGCCAGCTGGCGTTGCCAGCAAGATGAACTACATACAGCTTATGAAAAGCAGCAGATACTGCATCTGCCCAAAGGGCTATGAAGTCAACAGTCCGAGAATAGTTGAGGCTATATTTTACGAGTGTGTTCCGGTTATAATCTCTGATAACTTTGTTCCCCCGTTCTTTGAGGTGATGAATTGGGATGCGTTCTCGGTGATTATTGCCGAGAAAGACATCCCGAATTTGAAAATCATACTTGCCTCGATATCTGAGAAGAAGTATCTTGACATGCAGTTGAATATCCGGAAAGTCCAACGGCATTTTCTGTGGCACCAAAGGCCCATTAAGTATGACCTCTTTCACATGACCCTTCACTCAATCTGGTACAATCGTGTTTTTCAGATCAAACCAAGGTGACAATTGAGGCCACCTTCTTAGTGTGTAAAAATGTGAAGGACAGAGGTGGATAAAGTAATAAAGACTGCATGGAGAAAATCATGCATTTGTCCTTCAGTTTTAGTTTATTCAAGTATATGCTGCAGTCATGGAGTCCAGAGGGTGGTCAAAAGACTTCCACCAGTATTATGTTGTATTGTACTTGTACTGTTGGGAGTGAGTTTTGTACAGAAATTAGTGTGTGTTGTGTGGTGTGTTGTTTCTGTATGTATATATGTATATTGTGATTGTTAATTAAGTTTCTGATTTTGTATCATTTTACAAAACGTGAAATGTTGCTGGAAATCTTAAGATCATAAGAACAAGTTTAAATTCCTGAGATTTGTTCACTTGCATGATTTTCCTAGGAGATCAGTTGCATATATATCTAGCGATTGTTGATCTTGTTCTGTCTAATGTTTCTTGGTATAATTGCCGAACTATGAAGGTACTAGTCGGTTACTATGGTATGATGTTGTATCTTTATTTATTTATTTACTTAAGAAATTGTAGTGATTATTTATTTGTTTTCTTAATATTATCATTTTTTATTTTCTAGAAATGCTATCACTAAGTTGATTGCGTATTTTTTTGCAGCATTTTTGCAACTCAACTGCTCATGCCTAGGGCCTTAGCATTTTGCATTAGTAAGTGCCTCAAGGTATGTGACTTTACCCACGTTAATTTGTATTCTAAACATTTAGCTTTATTATGGACTTAATTTTTATTTTGAATGAGTATTTTAATTAGTCGATGCATTTTATACTTATGGGGATATAAATTTTCATTTACATTATATTGTAGATAATATGTACAATAATATGATGTGTGATGTCACATTAGCGATCACAATAGAAGTTCCTTTTAAAGTATAAAAGTATCCTACAACTGAGCTTTGACAAACTACTCAGTTGATTGTAGTATAATTTGATATTAGTTTATTCTAAACTATAAATTATACTCATATCCTCTGCGTGTATTGAGCTAAACCATATGGGATAATTTTTTTTGTATAGACCAATTGCTTAATAAAAGAACAAGACTTCAGTTGTCATGAATTCTCGTCTTCTTAATCTCAATATAATAATACACGTATATTCAATATCTGTTTCGTTGATTCATCAATGGGATTATGGGTGAGATTTATTCATTAGTTAGTGACTCGGTTGATCGAGAAAATTCTTTGAGAGTTAGGTAGAGATTACATGTAAAACTTTGCATATGGAAGTAATCTATGGACGAAAGAAATTATAAGCAATTTAATAATTACTAATCCTCCACTTGATGTTTTATATTAAACAAACACAAACTTGGTCAATGGAAGCAATTTCTGGATGGTTTCCTGTACAAATTGCAGAAAGAGACTAGAGAAAAAAATAAAAATATTGGAAGTCAACTATGGCTGTATTGGCTACTGCATTAGGTCGAGGCTGTAAGAAGGTGGACTTTTTTTCGCATGACTTCCACACACTAACAATTTAACAAGAACCCACATAGTTTAACTTGATCTGTGTCTGTATAATCTGGAAATCGAGTAAGGTTTATAGAGTGAGAGAGAATGAGGATTCAGGACAAAAACTCAAAGAATAAGTCCCATGTAAGCATTCATGCATGCACCGAAGCTGGAGATCTCAGTGGCGTCCAGAGGTTGCTTAGCCAAAATCCTTCCCTGCTTAATGAAAGAGGCATTGTTGTAAGGGCATCTCTCTCTCTCTCTCTCTCTCTCTCTCTCTCTCATAAAATTAACTTCATAAAACACTGCCAAAGGGATTAAAACTTTTATTTTACTGTTTATATATCGATAGACTGTAGTGTACCATATAGTGATCAGTATTCATACATTAGTCTACAATGTGTGGACGTAATTATATTATTTAGAAGTAAATTTATAGGCTATATGCATGTGAAGGATTCTTATTTTTTCTTAGGATTCCATCCTCTATCATAACATGCATTTCAACAGTCTGATGTTCTGACAAGGTCAAATGTTGAAATAAGTCGAATGGTATTAAGTTTTAGAATATGAAGTGAAACACTTATTTTTAGAAGAAATCACTGCAGGCCAATACTGGCATATGGATTGGGGAAATCTCCTTTCAGATAGAGTTGAAACAAAGTAAAAGAAAAAGACAGATTGGGGTCTTAATTATTCGTGTATGAGAAAAAGGAAACTTAACACATTTCCATTTTCACAAAGATTAAGATATGGTAATGTATACAGTCAACAGTATTCGCCTACACGGTTTATATTGAATGATTTTGTTGACACCAGACTACATATGAGTTGAGAAGGTACATGACAAATATGGAAATCTGGCTATCTTTTGGTACATAATGAAACTTTGTTATTTATTTTGTTTGCATAATATGTTTAGGAATATCACGTAGAACACATCTTTACAAACACCTCGAAACCAAAACGAGGTAACTGTTGGGTGGCTTGAAGATTTTTGTTTTCCCTTGAAATGACAGATTTTTCTTGAAATGATCTTGTAAAAATAAGTTCTCTGTGAACTGAAAGAAGAGCTTCTTGCTGAATGAACAATGGCTGAGGAAAAATATGCCACTCCATAGAGGAGATTACACATCTAGGACAAGGAAATATAAATGCAGTTAATGCTCGATTAATTATCTTTTATTTTCTCTTGTTATTATTTTATTATTATTATTATTGTTATTATTATTATTATTATTATTATTATTATGAATGTCAATTAGTGTGACTTGACAAAACCAAATCAACTGCCTGAATTTATGGGAATTATGTTACGTTATTTCTAAATTATCATTGTGAGCGGCATAATATTGTCAACCTTACAAAAAACATATATATTATAACTTATTCCAGATCTTGCATTTGAATTACTTTTTTAATCATTTGGACTAACCTTTTGTTCTTATACCAACTCTTGAGTTATAGTTCCCTCAAGCTAGGGACCTGTCTATTATATTCAAGTTTTAATTGGTCCTTCTGAAATGTCAATATCTGTGGCCATTATGATTGATTTTAATGTAACTCATCAAAGAAATGTTGCCATGTATTTTTCTTAACTACTTCAATCACATATTCTCTTTCTTGAGTGCAGACGGTACAAACTCCATTACACGTCGCCTCTGGTCACAATAAATTGGAGATAGTGAAGTATTTGCTCGACTGGAGAGGACCCGGAAAAGTTGAGTTAGAAGCTAAGAATGTTGTATGTAAACTTAACTAACAATCTCGATTTGCTATCGTTCTGAAAATCAATGATCTAGTGATTAAAAAAGGCGTGATGTTGAAGCTTGTTATTTGCCAATTGCGTGAGATGTAAGGCAAAGCGCTCGCCTCATTTATGGACAATGAACGAGTTACATATAATCTAGTAGAAAACGAAAAAGAAGTCCCAAATGAGATTCTTGAACACAAAAAGAGCCTCAAATTTTCACTATAATTGCTAGTTTTGAACTATTTCTCACCCACCCACTTGAAAAACTTACAAGTATTGATGTGTTGGTATTTATGTGTTTTACAATTCTTGCAGTATGGTGAGACCCCATTGCATTTGGCTGCAAAGAACGGATGTAATGAGTCACTGAGGATGCTTCTTCAGGGTGGAGCAAATGTGGAAGCTAGAACAAATGTACACATACGCATTTCTATCCATTTTGTAATTTTCCAGAAAATGATATTTTTACTCAAAAAATTTTGCCAACTTACTGCAGAACATGATGACTCCATTACATCTCGCTGTTGGTTATGCACTACGAACAGGAGATAACTCGACAGTGAGGACACTGGTGTTAGAGTACAATGCTGATTGCTCGGCAAAAGATGATGTATATTCCTTCTGTTTATTATGTTCAAGATGTTTCACTTATTATCTCTCTCTCTCTCTCACACACACTTATTACTAGAGAAGCATGAGACCATTCAAGCCAAAATTCAGTTTTTTAGTGTT